TTAGAATAACTGGACAGATAAAGGATAAAGTGCTCATGATCCAAAGCCAAACACACTGAAACATGTGCTGAATGGGCCTGTACAGGTGCAGTGGAACTGGATCACTCCTCGTCTTTTTGATGATGGTACTGAATCACTCATTCTTATTGCTAATGGTACTAGATCACTCATCTTTATTGATAAAGAAACTGGGTCACTTGTGTTTATTAATGAAGGCATTAGATCACTCATCTTTACTAATAAAGGAACTGGGTCACTTGTGCTTATTAATGATGGCACTGGATCACTCATCTCTATGGACGATGTTATTGGATCACACATCTTTATTGATGATGGTACTGAATCACTCATATTTATTGATAATGGAACTGGATCCCTTCTTTATTAATGATGTGAACTGGGTTACTCATTTTTATTAGTAATGAAACGGGATCACTTGTCTTTATTAATGATGTGAAGTGGATTACTTATCTTTATTGATAATGGAACTGGATTCATTTGTCTTTATCAATTATGTGAACTGGATTGCTCATCTTTATTAGTAATGAAACTGGATTCATTTGTCTTCATCAATGATGTGGACTAGATTCCTTGTTTTTATGAATTACTCATCTTTACTGGTGATGGAAGTGGATCACTTATCTTTGTTGATAAAAACACTGGATCATCCATCTTTTTTAACAATAGAACTTTATTGCTCATCATTGTTGGTGATGCTACTGGATCACTTGTCTTTATTAATGATGAAACTGGATTGCTTGTCTTTACTGATAATGGTTCTAGATCACATATCTTTACTGCTGAAGTTATTGGATCATGTATTTATGGGTGATGAAACTGGATCACTCATCTCAACCTATAATGTGAACCATAAGTTTTTTTTTTATTGGTTTTTGAAGTGGATCTCACATCTTTATCAACAACAGCTGGATCAGTTGTCTGTATTGAAAATAGAACTGGATTACTCATCTTTATTGGTGATGGAACTGGATCACTTGTCCTTTTCATGATGTAACTGGTTTGCTCATCTTCACAGATGATGAAACTGATTGTTGGTCTTTCTTGATGATGGAGCTGAAGATGGAAAATAATAATACCACTTAATAAAAACACTTGAAGCACCACTTTCCAACTGGATAGTGTGAATAGTACAAACAATGTGCAACAGGTCTAAAGAATATCTTTGCAAATTATGCATGAATTGTTAAAAATTATGGATAAATACATTTTTGTCTATCAAAGAATAAGCTCCCCGGCTCACAGAGATCTGAGAAAAAGGAACATATGATAAGAAGTGGAGAAAAGAGGAAGGAATGACCAGAATACATTCAGCTTTAAGACGACACTCAGAAATCAGATCTTGGATCTTGTGTTGGGAACAACTCTCTCTCTCTCTCTCTCTCTCTCTCCCTCTCTCTCTCATGTTGTTGCCTCAGACCTAATTTCAGTGCAACCTGACAGTTAAATGAAGCAATTCTAAAACAAAGTTGCACGCAACACATTCAGTTATTCCACTAGTTAGCTAAATTAGCAGCTTGTATATTTTGATACACCATACCGTTCTAGCAATAAAGCCATCCACAACATGTAATTGACATGTTTGATGCATTTTTATCAGGTTATTCTCCCTATATCTGTACATCTGCTATTTATCTCTCTACCGTTCCTTCATAATATATATCAGCTTTTAATATATTGTGTGTATGTTAAGTCAGTGGGTGGGTCTCCTTTTCAAATAACCAGTAAACCATCTTCTGTTTAAGTTTCTTGTAAAACCTGGTGAAATCAATGATTTGGAAGTATTTTGTTCAAAGTATCATTGACATTTTGATTGGCTGTTTCATGAAACTTGTTTCACAAGACGGTTGCAGCTGTTGTGACTGCTCAGTTTCGTCTCATGTAGGTTTCAAGCAACTAAAGTTGCATGAGAGTTTCACAGTGTAAAGCCAGTCTATGACTTTGCTAAAAACATAAGATTTATTTTGCACCTCTACTTTGTCAGAGAATATTTTGAGGGTCTTAATTTCTCTCTTGTCTCAACTGTTGCTTGTTGTTTCCTGCAGATTTAAGTCTGTAAGGGGTTTTGTGTGCATCAGGACACTGAGAGGGTCAGCAGTCATGTCGCCACTGTGGGCAAACTTTCACAATAAGAACGTCAAAGCTCTCCCTAACAAAGCCTCATTAACTTTATTTTACTGTTAACTTAAAATCAAATTGTTGCACATGGGAAAACTAATTTATTTGAAAATGTTATTTTATATTTTAATCAGAATTTATTTTTGTAATAATAATTTCCTCATAAAAGGCTTCATGTCTATTTTCAATCTTTAAAATGTTGTCAGCATAATCTATTAACAAGTGCAACAACATATATTAAAGATTTGAACAAACATCTCTCAACAAAATACCACAGCATGATAGCGTAAAGTTGGGGATCAGAATCAGAATGAGATTTATTGGCCAAATTTTGATACACATAAGGAATTTGGTTCTGGCCACTGGTGTCTCTCTAGTATTACAAGCAATATACAGGCAATGTACATGCAACTTGCAGACAACAATACACACACAGGGGACAGGAAGAAGGTATTTAAGAATGGTAATATTCCATGTTCACACCCCGTCTGGCTGCTACGCACATCATCTGCATATATTCAGATATTTATCATTTTTAATGTATAGACATTATCGGCCATTGTGCACAGTTTTACTAAACTATTTTTTCTGGGGTTTAAAGGCAAATACAGAGTCATGTGTTACAGTACATGAATAGGGTTATTACTTATTAAACTTACAATAACAAGCTGTAATTAACATACACTAACCTCCTGTATTTTATATAACATCTGCAAAAGTAATGCAACTCAGTAGCCAGCAATTTACTTTGAATGTACATATGAATTTTGGGGGAGCATGGATATGATAAAAAAAAGAGGGACAAAGACTGAACCCTGAGGTACTCCATGAGCTACAAGCACTGTGGAATATTTCTTTATCAGAATTGTGACAAAGTGATGTTTGTCCATGAGGTTTGATGTGAACTATCAATTAAAAACATCATCAGAATGATGGGGGTCATTCAAAGCATTTAAAAGAGGGTTAGTATCAGAAATGAGGTGTATATATATATATATATATATATATATATATATATATATATATATATATATATATATATAAGGAGATGATATTAAGATAGAAATAATTGTGATTCTCATACACAGATTTATCTAAAACATGCCCCACAACTCTGACCATATCTCACAAAGACAAGAATCTACTACATTAGCATCATATTCTTAATTTAGGCTTCTGTTTACATTGAAGGAAATCCTCATGAAGTTGCCTTGGAAAAGCCAACCTACTGTTCTTAATAATCTTCCTTACAAGCAGAAGGAGATCAGGGCCAGGTTAAGATCCTCTGGTGCCCCTGGGCTTTAGAGTTATACTGCCCTGTCCCCACAAAGCCTGCAAAGAAAACACTCTCTATCACACACACCTGTACTACATCTGTATTACATTGAAAACAGTACACATAAAAGATATTTGATGTTCCACTTTGTGAACTTTGTTTGTTATGTGCTCATTTCAAATATGAGGCCTACTACACATTTCAAAAACTGTTGGGACAGGAGCACGTTTAGCACCGTTCCTTTCAATAGGACTTCATGAAAGTCTGGAGCTGAAGATACGAAATGTCTTGTCTTTGTACTGTTTTAGTTCAAATGTGGGTCAAACTGAATTTGACATCTCTGGTTTGTTTTTATTTGCATTTTACCTACTGTCCCAACTATTTTAGAATTGTTTTAAAAGCAATTATTCAGTTATACAAGTCTGAAATAACTGAAATAAGCCTGGATGTTCCTGAAAAAGACTCTTTTATATATATAGTCTTTCAGCAGTAGTGATGCCTGCAGATTACCCAATAATAACCCCCCATACCATAACAGACCCTGGATTTTGAACAGTCAGGATGGCCCTTTTCTTTTTATGCCCAGAGAACATGACGTCCGTCATTTCCATAACACTCTGGAAGGTAGGCTCATCAGACCACAATGCATGTTTCCACTGAGCATTTCAGATGAGCTTGAGCCCAGAGAAGACGGCAGCATTTTAGATGTTGTTGATATATGACTTCCACTTTATATAGTACAGCCTTAACTTGCGTTTGTGGATGCAGTAATGGACAGTGTGTACTGACAACACTGGGTCCTAGTATTCCCAAGCCCATGAGGTGATATCCATCAAAGAAACATGCATCCAAAAATCAAGGGCATTCAGTTGTGGTTTTTGGGCTTGTTTTAATACGCAGAGATTTCTCCGGATTCCCTGAATATTTTTTCAATATTTTTTTAATATTTAGAAATTTCTGCACTGTATAGATGAAAAGCTGAAAATCATTGCAACAACCTACTAGGGAATATTGTTCTTAAACTACTGAATTTTTTGCTGATGCATTTTTGGTAAAGTGGTCTTGACCCATCCTCACTCATAAAGGACTCAATCATGATTACATCACCTCTTTCATGTTTTCTGAACATTTAACAATATCCCTAGTTTTAAATCACCCCTGTCCCAACTTATTTAGAATGTGTTGCAGGAATCAGTTTCAGAATTAATGTATACTTACAAAAAATCATAGTTGATAAAACATTAAATGTCTTATCTTTGTACTGTTTTTGTTCAAATACAGATTAAAGTGAATTTGAAATCACTGCTTTCTGTTTTTAATTAGCATTTTACCCACTGTCTCAACTTTCTGGAACTTATTTTGTAAATAATTTTAATAAATTGCTGATTCATGAAGAAATGTAAAGACTTTTTTTCTTTCAGTGAATTCAAGTTGGGGTTTACAGGGTCACAGAGCTCTGAGAGAAAGGAACACGTGAGAAGAAGTGAAGAAAAGAGGAAGGAATGACCAGAATACTTTCAGCTTTAAGACGATACTCAGAAAATCAGTTCTCATGGATCTGGTGCTGGGAACAGCTCTCTGTCCCTATATAATGATGACCAGAGCACTGACTCTACACTCACACTCACTGCTCTCTACTCCACAGCAGAAGACCCTCCACTCTCTCCAGCTCCGTCTCTCTGGCTGAAATCAGACGCTCTGCTAGAATGAGGATCCTGTCTGCTCTGCTGGTGCTGCTGCTGCTCTGCTCTCTCCAGCTGACCTCTAGTGGTGAGTGGACTGAACACACTGAGCTGTGTTACTGTCAGTGTTATTATAGATTATAAAGACGGGAGCAAAATTACATCACAATGAGAATCAGGCATTTGTGTATTGAGGTTGTGGTGTTAATGTGGTGTTTGTGATCCCTGCAGCTCCAGCTGAACTCTCCTCTGACTGCTGTACCAAGCTGACTAAGATGAAGATCCCTCTGGTCTTTGTGGAGTCCTATTGGAAAACGAGTAGTAACTGCCCCCTTAAAGCCATTGTGTGAGTATTAATGATCCGACTTTTTTACTCTGATTATATGATGGGGGAAAACACACCTGCATTAAATGCTTTACAGTCAAATACAAAAGTTTGTCAAATTACACATTTTGTTGATACAGGGAACAGACTTAAATATGGCATTTTACTGCTAATTTTAGTGCACAATTTCTTTTTAACATTTTAGAAAAACAGAAAATATAAATGTTGGCAACATATTTTTCACAACATGTTAAAGGATGAAAACAAAAAGTAATTGTGTGTTAAAATGTGCAGAAGTGTGTTGTTTGTAGATGATGTGTAACTTATTTTCACCTTGAAAATCAACTAAACTTTGCCTATGACTGTATATACTCAGCTTAAGCCTCAACACAATCTCTATTGTTTCACCTTCTCAATATGAGATGATATGATTCTTTATTTTCCAGCTTCTAATTATTTTTCATCTTCTCCTGCAGATTTCTCACTAAAAAAGGAAATAAGATTTGTGTGGATCCGGATGCTGTGTGGGTCAGCAGTCATGTCGCCACTGTGGACAAACGCACAGGCAATGATATGACAGCAAGAACTTCAACTACAACTCCCAAAATGCTCTCACTTACAAAGCTCCCTTAACTTATTGTTTTCTGAACTGAATCTCAGAATTGTACACATTGAAACACTGAAAGCTTTTTGTATTTTATTAAATGTGAATGTTCTTATTTTAATTTATTTTTGTAATAAAGATGTTTTTGTTTAAATGATTTCATGTCTTTATTATTGAAATTAGAATCAACATTATTGCTGAACAATTAAAAGCCAGCTCTACGCAGTGGTGCTGTGACACTGGGGACAGGAGCTTTTCCAAATACAAAGCATCAGCTGATAATCACGGACAGGGAGTCTTCACAGACTCTGTCTATGTCCATATATGCATAATGGTAGTTGCAATGTGATTTCAAGGGTCCGGGGTCAAATGTTGCTGGATCATTTCAAAGACATTTACAATTGTGCCATCAATGTAAATACAAAAACAAGAAAACAAGGAGGGGACAAGAACAGAACCCTGGGGTACACCGTCAAAAACAAGCAATATGAAATAATTAGAGTTTGCCAAATGAAATCGCTGTGAAAAAAGACCTTTTGTTTTTATCTCAATACTGATATTACCTTTTACTGTGGTTTACAATATTAACACCACAATGCATTAAAAAATGCTTAAAACTCAACAAACTACATTCTCAATGTCATTTTTGAATATCAGCACTCTTTAAGGGCTTACACATGTACAATATGCACAATAAAATAATTATCAACAACATATTCATGCTCACAATATGTACAATTATTATATAGACAAATTGCGGAGAACTCCTGCAACAGAGCACTGCAACACTTACTGAGAAATATTAAAATTCTTCATCATAAAGCATGAGATAGAACAGTCAGTTCAGAACTTTATCATTTTTTTTAATCATATAAACATGAACATGCTTTAGCCATGCATATGATGATACACAGTCAGTCCATAAATTCTGGGACATAGTTATTATTGTCAGAGTTGAAATTAAATGATGTAAATGAGCTCAGAGTGCAGACTTTAAGCTTTAAGTCATTTACATCTAAATCACGTGAACAGTGTAGGAATTACAGCCATTTACATACACGGCCCCGTCATTTTTAGGGGCCCAAGAGTCTCATAGGACAAACCAACATAAACATAAATTCATTTTTGGCTCTTAATACTTGGTTGAATGTTATTTTGGAGACAATGACTGTCTGAAGTCTGGAACTCATAGACGTCAGCAGATGCTGGGCTTCTTCCATGATGATGCTCTACCAGTCCTTTGATGCAGCTGTCTTCAGTTCCTGCTTGTTCTTGGGGTGTTTTACCTTCATATTTGTCTTCACTAAGTGAACTGCATGCTCAGTTGGATTGAGCTCAGGTGACCGACCTGTGCAGAACATTCCAGTTCTTCACCTTAAAAATGTCTTGGATTGCTTTGGCAGTACGCTTCGGGTCATTGTCCATCTGCAGTTTAAAGCGTCCAATGAGTTTTTTGAAGCATTCAGATATTTGCGTGAATATTATAGACTTATACTCTTCAGGAGTCAGCGAGATGCTGTGAGTCATGCTGGTCACATCATGATCAAATACAAGGGAACCAGGGCCACTGCAACTATACATGCTTATACCATAACACTACCCCCACCATGCTTGATGGCTGAGGTGAAAAGCTTTGATATTCCTGCGTGCCCAACAAGTGGTTTCATCTACACTGTGCTCACTACAGCCATGACTTCTGCAGCTGTTTACACAAAGCTATCCGTCGCAGGTCGCAAAGGTCCGCTGCCACACCTTCTGTTCTCTAGAATTAGATGAAGACTGCAACCACAACTGCCCCTGTTTCTGAAAGAGAACATCCCAACATGCTGAAAGAACATTCATGATGATAATCAATGGGTTATCTGGAACCTGGACTCCTGCAATCTTGAAATTCAGCAGAGCATAACCAACATAAGGGATCTTGAGTCTGTTTGCAGCTTTTAAAGTTAATATAGGAGCTTTGCCCAAATGATGTTGGAGGAAAATGTTTGTTCAACATGCTCTGTTGCATCAAGGTCACTTGGGAACCAATATCTAAAAGTCCAAGGCACTTCACATTCTCAATAAGGATCTCCACTAGTGGGCAGTTACCAATAAAAGTTTGAGTGGTCCTATCAGGTTCCAATCTATCCACAGGCCCCACCACCTGGACCTCTGCAGTAGGGCAAGCAGTAGTTAAAAGGTGGCCTTTCTGCAGCAGCTCACCTACAATTCCTAGCTAGGTGGCCAGACTGGTAAGGTAGGCTTACCATCAGTATCTCACATATTTGGTGTAGACTGGACTCTCCTTTGACTGGTGGAGGTTATAGTAGACTGGTGTGGTGCCTGAACAGATGGTGTTGTAGATTCCCGCCACAATGGCTTTAATTTTTGAATTACCTCTTGAGTCAGTTCACGTACTCCCCCCATCTCCTCCAACAACTCTCGCTTCAGTTCAGCTCTCCAGTCTGTCTGCTGAGGGTGGGAGTGAGGTACACTAGTCTCATGGATCATAGCATGAGGTTTCATACCTATCAGGCCCATACTCCACTTCTAGCAGCAAAGCTTCTCTATGCAAGTCTGCCAAGGACACTGTAGATGTAATTCAGGCAAAAGTTTGAACAGCTCATCTAAAGGGTCCTTCCTCTAGCCCCAACAACAACTGGTCCTCCACCTCCACAGTCTGCAGAAGTCTAAGAACTCCCTTAATTGCAACACAAACGCTTTAAAAGATTCTCCTGATCTCTGTCTACAACCAAAAAACTGGGTCCTAAGAACAGGCAGAGGCACCTCAGCTGCATAAAAAATATTTTATATCTTAAAATGTTTACACCTTTTTAACTTGAGCTGTGCAGTGCAGCACGATTTCAACTTCACAATAATTTGCTGTGTTATTATAGAAAATAACTTTGATGAGTTGATTTCACAGTAAAATTATGAAAGCAATATTTTACTGTGAAGAATTAGTGTTGAATATCGTAAAATCAGGGCAATAATGAACAGTGTACGATTTCAAAGAAGGTGTGAAAGTTGTGAAAGTTTTGCATGTGTACCATGAATGCAAATGGGAAAAATGGAATATTCTAGAAACCAGAGATTAAGATCAACAAGTAATAATTCTGTTTTTTTCATCAGTGTTTGAGAAGTTTGTACTCATCCTGTTCTTTGAAAAGTTGATGTAAAATGTTTGAGTGTCAGCAGTATTAAACTGAAAACTCAAACCATGTTGGAGGATGATTTGGCCAAAGGGACATAGACTGAACCCTGAGGTACTCCATATAAACACTGTGTAAAATTTGTCTATCAGAACAGTAATAAAATGATGTCTGTCTGTGAGGTTTGATATGAACAATCAATTTAAAAAGACATCATTAGAATGATGAGGGTCATTCAAACCAATGAAAAGAGGATTAGTTTCAGAAATAAGGTGTTCATAGAGACTGATAAGATAGAAATGACTGTAGTTTATCTAAGATGTATCTTAAAGCATGCCCCCTCAACACCCCACCCCAAACACCTTTGCAGGGGACGATCTGTCCAGTGGAAAAAAAAAAACATGTAGAAACTTGCAGCATCAGCAAAACTAAACGGAAGAGGAATAAAGTGTTTGTTTGATTTGCAAACGTCAGACTGTTGGACGTTATTAAACACAAAAGAGGAAATGTCTCATTCATTGTAGTGAGCTAAAAAAAATCTTTTGGAACTTCAAGATGTTTCCTGTGGTCCACTTTCACTTCTTCTGAAGAATGAATTCAGTTACTTACCTAAAATATGTTAAATGATAATATGGAATGCCTTCTATGATAGAGTTATTATATTATTATAATAGTGAAAAGCAATTGAATCGAAAGAGCAAAATCATTCAAGAAAATTTTCCAAAATAATCTAAACCAACATACAAGAAATGAAACAACTGGGAAAGGTACTGAAACTGGCCCTATCTCACAAAGACAAGAATCTACAAAATTATCAGCATAGGCTCCAGCTACTGCTTTGTTAAGACCAATGTTTCACATTAATTACAGTGAAATGCAAATGAACTACATCTGCATTACATTGAAAACAGTACACAAAAAAAGATATTTGATGTTTTACTTTATGAATATTGTTTGTTATATGCTCATTTCAAATATGAAGCCTACTACACATTCCAAAATTGTTGGGACAGGAGCACGTTTACCACCGTTCCTTTCAATAGGACTTCATAAAAATTTGGGGCTGAAGATACTAAATGTCTTTGTACTGTTTTAGTTCTGTGGATGCCATAAGCACTGGATGCCTTGCGTGGGTTAACTGCCCTGAAGGATCTCACCACCTCAGACAGGGGAATGGCTAGAGGGCAGCTCTCCTCATCTACTGGGAGTTTCTCAGCAGATGCTCAGGATGAACGTTCTCAAGTCTGTTAATGGTCTCGTACTAAAAGTCCAATGCACTTGCATCTGCCTGAGGTGGGACTGCGCTGACAATGACTGAGCTAAAGGCCCTGGGCAAAAAAAGGGTCGAACTTTGACTGTTATGAGTTCAGTGTCTGGAGACCAGTGACTGGCTAGAACCGCTACATCTGTTCACCCATCGAGAGTTCACCATAACACATACCCCGCCGCTTCTGCCCTTAACAGAGTCCAGAGTTCTGTCCTGGCGGTAGATGATGAAGCCGGCCGGTGTGATGCTGTTGTTTGGTATTGCCACGGATAGCCACGTCTCTGAGAGTGCTAAAATGCAGCGGCTTTCGATGTTGCGCTGAAACCTGATCTGTGCGTTCAATTAGTCTATTTTGTTCTCCAGCGATTGAACATTTGGGAGCAGAATACTTGGAAGCGGAGGGTTGAAGCACCTTTTCCTTGTCCTTCATAATATCCTGGCGTGTCTGCCCCTCTTGCGCTTGCTCCTGCTCCTGCTCAGCGGCTTGCGAAGGGGCAGCCATTTGCGAGCATGTGTTTGTGTTGAAGTCCATCTTGAGCGATGATCAGATGTCCAGAACAGTTTGTCGATCATACTGAATGATCCCCAAAGCAGTATGTGCAAAAACACAAAGAAACAGCACAACAAAACACAAAAAACTGTAGAGCTTACCCGGAGCTCTCACCAGTGCGGCCATTCTACGGCGTACTGGAACCGGAAGTTCCGGGTCAAACTATATGGGACAAACTGAATTTGAAATTACTGATTTGTGTTTATTTGCATACCGTCCCAGCTTTTTTGGAATTGTTTTAAAAGCAATTATTCAGTTACACAAGTCTCCAGCTGTGTAATCCAGGGCCTTCATCGTTATATTTTTTCAGAGGTTTGCCACATTCTCTGAATATGTTGCCATGTTGTTGTAACATGAGCAGAATGTTTTTTGATGTTGTCATGCTGAAATAAGCCTGGATGTTCCTGAAAAAGACTCTTTTATATATATAGTCTTTCAGCAGTAGTGATGCCTGCAGGTTACCCAATAATAACCCCCCATACCATAACAGACCCTGGATTTTGAACAGTCAGGATGGCCCTTTTTTTTTGCCCAGAGAACAAGACATCCGTCATTTCCATAACACTCTGGAAGGTGGGCTCATCAGACCACAATACATGTTTCCACTGAGCATTTCAGATGAGCTTGAGCCCAGAGAAGACGGCAGCATTTTAGATGTTGTTGATATATGACTTCCACCTTACATAGTACAGCCTTAACTTGCGTTTGTGGATGCAGTAGTACTGTAGTAACACTGGGTCCTAGTATTCCCAAGCCCATGGGGTGATATCCATCAAAGAAACATGCGCCTAAAAGTCAAAGGCATTCAGTTGTGGTTTTGGGCTTGTTTTTTATGTGCCGAGATTTCTCCAGATTCCCTGAATATTTTTAAATATTTAGAAATTTCTGCACTGTAGTGATGAAAAGCTGAAAATCCTTGCAACCACCCACTGAGAAATATTTTTCTTAAACTACTGAATTTTTTGCTGATGCATTTTTGGTAAAGTGGCCTCGACCCATCCTCACTCAAAGGACTCAGACATTTCTGGATGCTCTCTTTATGCTCAATCATGATGACATCACCTCTTTCATAATATTTTCTGAACATTTAACAATATCCTAGCCTCAAATCACCCCTGTCCCAACTCATTTAGAACGTGTTGCAGGAATCAATTTCAGAATTAATGTATACTTACAAAAAATCATAGTTGATAAAACATTAAATGTCTTATCTTTGAACTGTTTTTGTTCAAATACAGATTAAAATCAAATTGAAAATCACTGCTTTCTGTTTTTATTAGCATTTTACTGACTGTCTCAACTTTTTGGAACTTAATTTTTAAATAATATACATGAATGGCTGCTACATGAAGAAATACATTTTTTTTCTTTTAGTGAATTCAACTTGGGGTTCACTGGGTCCCAGAGCTCTGAGAAAAAGAGACACGTGAGAAGAAGTGGAGAAACGAGGAAGCTGTCTGCTCTGCTGGTGCTGCTGCTGCTCTGCTCTCTCCAGCTGACCTCTAGTGGTGAGTGGACTGAACACACTGAGCTGTGTTACTGTCAGTGTTATTATAGATTATAGATGCATTTGTGTATTGAGGTTGTGGTATTATTATGTTGTGTTTGATTCCGACAGCTTCAGCTGGGCTCTCGCCTGACTGCTGTATACATTGAAGATCCCTGTGGCCAAGCTGGTGTCCTACATGCTGACGAGCAGTGACTGTTACCTTAAAGCCTTTGTGTAAGTATCAATGATCTGACTTACTCTTTTCTGTGACATGCTGATTAAGCAGTGGGGGAACATGCACCTGCATTAAGTGCTTTACAGTCATATGCAAAAGTTTCTCACACTACATGTTCTTTTGAAAATAATTTTCAAAATTATTATTTGGGGAACAAACTTAAATATGGCATTTTTCTGCTAATTTTAGTGCAAATTTCATACTTATTTAGTTTAACATATTCAAAAAAACCTTTTTTTGTTTATTTAAAGGACTACAACTTCAACTACAGTTCCCACAATGCCCTCACTTACAAACCTCCCCTAACTTATTGTAAATTGAATATCAGATTGTGACTCACCGAAACACTGAAAACTCTTTATATTTGAGAATTAAATTTAAAGGTTTTAATTGATATTTTTGTAATAAAGATATTTTTATTCAAAGTATTTCATGTCTTTGTTTTTCAATCCAGTATCAGCATCATTGCTAAACAAGCACAACAGGATGTTATGTTAATCACAGTCTTAATCTCTCAACCAATCAGCTCTGCTATGAGACTGGAGACAAAAGGAAAGAGCTTTGAAATTAGTTAACACTTTAAGGTTTACTTCTTAACCATGAAATAACCATTAGCAAATAATTGAAAATGTCCTGGAAAATGGAAACATATCTGTAAGCCAGTTTAAAAATGTGTTGTAAATGTTTTATCTTGTAACGTTGGAGGCAAGGAGGTATGATGCAAGTGCGAGTTGCTTCTATTCAAAACAGAGTCCAGAAACTGAGTAGAAGAGGTTTGTGAAACAGACATGTCCATAATGAAACAAAACCTAAAAACATCAAAGATCAAAGAAAACAAGCAACAGAGTAGCATTCACAATGCAAGACACAGAGACTGAACAAACACAGGGGTATAAATACACTGAGGGAAAACAAAAACACCTGGGTCTAATGAGAGGGTGGGGCTACAGACTGCAGACAGGTGGAGCAGATGACAAGTGGTGTAATATAGGCAAGGACTTTTCAACCTTTTACACCTAAAGAACCAACTAATCATCAGAAGAAAGTAATAATTAATTTAAACTCCACATTTAATTAAAAATAGCACAAAGACAACATATTAAATGTTGAAACTGAGAAATTTTATTGTTTTTAAAAACTCCAGCAGCAGCACTGCTGTGTCTGATCCACTCGTACCAGCACAACACACACTACCACACCACCACCACGTCAGTGTTACTGCAGTGCTGAGAATGATCCACCACCCAAATAGTACCTGCTCTGTGAGGGTCCATGGGGGTTCTGACCACTGAAGAACAGGGTAAAAGGGGGCTAATAAAGGACGCAGAGAAACAGATGGACTACAGTCTGTAACTGTAGAACTACAAAGTGCACCTATATAGTAAGTGGAGCTGATAAAATGGACAATGAGCGTAGAAACAAGGAGGTGGTCATAATGTTATGCCTGACCGGTGTATGTTTCAGTGTTCAGCGTGTCAAGCTTTGCTTTTATTCCAGCTTCCATTCTTTTCAGGAGACTCACTTTCAGTTTCTCAAAGAATCTGCAGACTCACCTCCAAAGTTCAGTCTTAGAAGCTGGTTTAGCATTTTCTGTTTCTCATGATGAAGTGACCCAAACACATTCAGTGGTGTGGAGGTCTGGACTCTGGGTTGGCCACTTTCTGATCCAGCAGAGCTTCTAAAGATAATCACTAACACTTATAAGAAAGAGTGACTGCAGAAAACACTGACATCAGCATGTCTTTATTACTCTACTTTCTAAGAAAGTAGTTTTGTGGAGAGACGAGTGCTTTCATTCAGTAGAGGTAGTGAAAGTCCACTGTGGAGAAGATTCTTCATTCTATAGTTTTCTGTTCTGTAATTCTGTGTAACATTTCCCAGCTGATCAATGAGGCACTTATGTTTTGTATGATTTTACCCACAATTAAAGTCAGCAGGTTTATCAGTCTCGTTTTGATGATGATATTTTTGCTGATGTCTATAAAAACAGCTACACACATAGTTAGAAGAAGACTTTCAATGAAAGAAATACAAGATTAAAGTCTGGACTATATCACATCACTGTTAGTATAATAAGGAATAAATATAGCCTCTCTAAAAAATGAAAAAATTTAAGGAAGAAAAAAAACGATAAAACAATAGAGCATCCATCTGCCCAACTAAACTATGAACAACAGCAGAAATTCATAAATTAAGGTTAGAATATGACGAGTATATGATTCAGTACAGTACAAAAGTCAGAAGACATTTTTTTTTTTTTCCAGTCAAAACAGCCATTAAATACAGGTTATTAACTTCTCAGGAGATGTTTCTGAGGAGATCAGATATAAGATAATCCACTTGCAGAAAAAGGAGAATATTTAAGAAAATTAATGAAAACACTGGATTTCAAAAACTGATTAAAAGCTACAGGAAAAATGAGACTCCTAACAACCACCTGGAAGAGCTGGTAGACACCAAAACTGCCCCCATCAGATAAACAGCACTTAAAGCTTTCATCTTTGAGAGAGAGGAGAAAATCAAGCTGCTTCAGATCTGAAAACATCCACAGGTTTTTCTGTCCATCCTTCCACTGTGAGAAGACGACTCAGCGCTGTGGGTCTGAAAGGATGTGTAGCTGTCAAGAAGAACCTCACTGAGAAAAGGAGACGGACACATCAAACAAAGAAGCTGAACAATGGACTGACCACCCCTGAGTCCAGACCTCAACACCACTGAATGTGTTTGATTACATCAGAAAATGATGAACCAGCTTCTAAGACTGAACTTTGGAGGTGTGTCTGCAGATTCTTTGAGAAACTGAAAGTGAGTCTGTAATAAAGGTAAAGAGTGACACACTGAAGACTGAAATATTTGATATTATAGTTATTGAGGTGTCATTTCTGTGTAAATGTGTGGAGAGTGTAAGGAAAGGGTTTCTATTAAATTGGACAGTAAATGTTTATAAATGATGAACAGACCTGATCTGAGATCATTCTAACACTTTCTAAAAGCCATTAATAAAAGACAATATTTGCTGTATTGGCGCTGCACTTCAGCACATCCTGCTTAGGGCCCTCAAAGGCTACAGATACCCTAAAGCAGATGCTGCTGAAACGCAGTGTCAGACTTAACTTTCTAAACTTACAGAGCGCTGAGAAAAAGGAACACGTGAGAAGAAGCGGAGAAAAGAGGAAGGAATGACCAGAATACTTTCAGCTTTAAGACGATACTCAGAAAATCAGTTCTCGTGGATCCGGTGCTGGGAACAGCTCTCTGTCCCTATATAATGATGACCAGAACACTGACTCTACACTCACACTCACCGCTCTCTACTCCACAGCAGAAGACCCTCCACTCTCTCCAGCTCCGTCTCTCTGGCTGAAATCAGACGCTCTGCTAGAATGAGGATCCTGTCTGCTCTGCTGGTGCTGCTGCTGCTCTGCTCTCTCCAGCTGACCTCTAGTGGTGAGTGGACTGAGCACACTGAGCTGTGTTACTGTCAGTGTTACTATAGATTATAAAGAGGGAGCAACTTATAGGATTGTGGTTGTGGTGTTAATGTGTTGTTTGTTATTCCTACAGCTCCAATTGCAATGGAGCAACACTCCTGCTGTCCCAGTTTGACTACCATGAAGATCCCTCTGGCCCAGGTGGAGTCCTACACATGGACGAGCAGTGACTGCCACCTTAAAGCCATTATGTGAGTAGTAATGATCTTGTTATCTCTTCTTATTCTGACATGCTGATTAGATGCTGGGGGTTAGAACTCACTTAAATATGGCATTCTGCTAATTTTAGTGCACAGTTTCTATTTATTTGTTTAATATATTAGAAAAAACTAGAAAAATTTAAAATGTGCTGGTTATAAAATGAACAATAACAGTGCATTAAAACTGCAAAAGTGTGTTCTCTGTAGAGGATGGTTTAACTTATGTTCACTTAGAGAATCAAAAAACATGAAGTTTGACCGGGGTGCCCAAACTTTTGCATGCAAATATAAATACTCAGCTTAAACCTCCACATAATTTCATATATTTTCACTTTTGAAGAAGGTGATTCTATATTTTCCTGCTTCTAATTATTGTTTGTCTTCTCCTGCAGTTTTCATACTAAAAAAGGAAAGGAGATTTGTGTGGATCCGGACACTGTGTGGGTCAGCAGTCATGTTGCCGCTGTGGACAGACGCACACAATGATATCACAGCGAGGACTTCAACTACAACTCCCACAATGCTCTCACTTAAAAAGCTTCCATAACTTATTGTTTTGTAAATGGACTCTCAGAGTGAAGAACACTGAAACACAGAAAACTCTTTGGACTCAATTTTATGTAAATATTTTTATTTTAATTTATTTTTTGTAATAAAAATATTTTTGTTAAAATGTTTCATTTGTTTATTCTTAAGACAGATATCATCAATATTGCTGAACAAGCACAATAACACTTCATAAACAGCTCTACACAGTGGTACTGTGACACCGAGGAGAGGAGGACAGTGTGTTAAAATTATACCTTTCTTGCAAAGAGAAACGCACGACATCTAACAATGAACAGGAACTCTTCACAGACTTTATCTATATTCATATAAGCATAATGTTTTTGGTAGATGGAATGTAAGTGAAGGGTCAAATGCTACTATGTGATTTAATAGAAGTTTTTTTTATCCTCAGTGTAAATACCAAAACAAGAAAAAAAAGGAGGGGGCAAGAACTGAACCCTGGGGCACACCATCAATAACAAGCATTATGAAAAATTGGTCCTTACCAAATAAATGTCTGTGTCAAAAGATTTTTGAATCACAATACTGACCTAAACTTTTATCACAGTTTACAGAATTATCACAATATTGTAATAAAAAAACGACATCTTTAAATATCAGAAAACTACATTCTCAGTGTCATTCTAAAATATCAGCACTGTACAGGTGGTTACACCTGTGCAATGTGTACAATACAATAATTATTAACAAAAAAATCCACAAATTGATAATCACTTTGTAAAGTTATTATTGGTCCGATTTGCTGAGAACTTCTACAACAGATCACTGCAACACTAACTGAGAGACGTGAAAATTCTGCAGCATAGTATAAAGCATTGAATATAGCAGTCAGTTCTGAATTTTATTTTTTAAAGTTATATAGTCATAAACATGCATCAGTCATGCATATGATGATATACAATCAGGTCCATAAAAATTTGGATAGCAACAAAAAAATGATTGTTCATTTTTAAGTTGAAATTAAATGATAAACATGAGCTCAAAGTTGTTTTCAGATTTAAGTTAAGGGTATTTTCATCCAAATTGGGTGAACAGTGTAAGAATTACAACCATTTTCAAACATAGCCCCTCTTGTCTTTTAGGGTGTTCAAAAGTAATTGGACAAAGCAGCATAATAACAAATAAAATTGTTTGTTTTTTGGGTTTTGCAGTCAATGACTCTCTGAAGTCTGGAGCTCATAGACATCATCAGACACTGGGTTTCTTCCCTGGTGATGCTCTACCAGGTTCTGGGTTTAAGTGAATGCAGTAATGGAGAGATGATGAATGGTGGATCTGGAAGTCACTGACTGGTGGTGTCAGCGTGAGCACCTTCATTACAAACACAGCGTTTAGGGTTTTTGGACTCTGTGTGTTGTCCGGTGTGCAGTAACATTAAAGGCATTGGTTCTGCTGATTGTTAGTCATGTGACCACCTCTTTCACTGCTCACTAAATCTGGCGTAATTTGTCCACGTCAGTCTGGAGAGAACTCGGCTGTGTTGTGTTGAGTTCTGCTGATTTTATGGATTTTAACTTCACCCATAGAGCCACGACCGCCTGTTGCCCCAGAACTCACGAGTAGGTTAAAGATCCCCTGATGATAAAGCAAATTACTGAATACTGTCACGTGTCTAGTTGCCTGTCAGCAAAATTTTGATTTGAACCAGTCAATGACATCATCAGGGAAAATGTCATAAACTTCTTGAATCTCACTGAGGAATATGAGCTCATATAGATTTTATCTTTATTAATAAGTTTGTAGTTGTGAGGTAATTAACCATTCCTTCACCTCCTCATTGGAAATACTCTCTAATATTGTCTGTTGAGCTGTTACATCATCCAGATTTATGTTGGTGAAACTGAATCTGTGCAGGAAGAGGTGAAGAAATCCTGCCTTGTAAAGTCACTGAGATTAACTGATCTGAAAGGAAACAGTTCATTGGTTTGTCTTGAATCCTGCTTTTCTCATTCCAGCTCCATCTGCTTGTAATGTTGGAGGCAAGGAGGTATGATGCAAGTGTGAGTTGCTTTTATTCAAATCAGATTTAACAGAGTCCAGAAACTAAATAGAAGAGGTTTGTGGAACAGACACATCCATAATGAAACAAAACCAAACAACCAGATCAGAGAAAACAAGCAACATTCACAACGCAATACACAGAGACTGAACAAACACAGGGGTATAAATACACTGAGAGAAAACAAGGAACACCTGGGAGTCATGAGAGGGTGGGGCTACAGACTATAGACAGGTGGAGCAGATGACAAGTGGGCAGGACCAGGGAGGAGACACAGACCAAAACAACAACAAAAGCACATGGCACAAGAAAACAAAAGGCACATTGCTGAAGAAACAGACACACTCAGAGGGATTATGGGGAAACTGTGACATTTCTATGATGTGTTAAAAAGATTTTCTGGGAATTTATTAACTATTTGTTGAGAAACTAGTTCAATTGAAATTCCTTGTAATCTTTCAGTTATAAGCACACCACAAATGTCTTTATGTAACATCTGTATCAAAGAATATGAACAAGTATTTCACAGAGACCAAACATGCTAGTAAACAGTCATGTTTCAGAAAGTGTGAATGTTTGAACACTGTACTTATAATAATACAATTTATAACAACATTTTCTTAATTGTTCTTAACTTTCTCGTCTATACAGTATATACACCTTTAAGTAATTGGATGGTGGAATCCTTTTTTATTTTGGACTGTACTCCAGCACCTTGGCTACGTGCTGTTGTGATTTTCCTACTGGATCTAAAACTACAAAAGGCAAATCAAACCCAAAGGACTGGAGAGATGCAGGTGTCCAAAATGGCAAGATTTTGCAAAAAACAAGAGTCTATAGGGTGCAATATAGGCAAGGAGTTTTCAACCTTTCTACTTTTCCACCTAAAGAACCAACTATTCATCAGTAGAAAGTACAACCTCATTTTTTCCAAAAAAGTTGGGACACTGTGCAAAATGCAAATAAAAACAAAATGCAATGATATGCAAATCATTTAAACCCTATATTTAATTGAAATAGTACAAACACAACATATTAAATGTTGAAATTTTATTGTAATATACACTCATTTTAAATTTGATGCCAAAAACACATTCCAAAAAGTTGGGATGGGGGCAACAAAAAGCTGGTAAAGTTGTGTAATGCTAAAAAAACACCTGGTGGTTGACGGGCAACAGGTCAGTTACATGATTAGGTATAAAAGAGCATCTCAGAGAGGCGGAGTCTTTCAGAAGTAAAGATGAGGAGGGGTTCACCACTCTGTGAAAGACTGCACGATCAAATAGTGCAACAATTCATGAACAATGTTTCTCAACATAAAATAGCAAAGAACTTTTGTTTTTCATCATCTACGATACATAATATCATTAAAACATTCAGAGAATCTGGAGAAATCTCTGTATGCAAGGGACAAGGCCAAAAACCAGTAATTGCTGGCCGTGATCTTTGGGCCCTCAGGCAGCACTGCATTAAAAACAGACATGATTCTGTAGTGGAAATCACTACATGGGCTCAGGAACACTTCTGAAAAACACTGTCTGTAAACACAGTTCGTCGCTGCATCTACAAATGCAAGTTAAAACTCTAAAACGCAAAGGGGAAACCAAATATAAACAGGATCCAGAAACACTGCCACCTTCTCTGGGCCAGAGCTCTGGGCTAAAGACCACTCTGCCTGTTATCAGTGCAGAGTTTAAAGCCCAGTATTCATTGTGGTATAGGGGTACATTTGTGCACATGGCGTAGGTGATGTGCACATCTGTGAAGGGACCATTAATGCTGAACGATATAAACATGTTTTGGCAACATATGATGCCATGAAGACGACGTCTTTTTCAGGGAAGGCCTTGATTATTTCAGCAAGACAATGTCAAACCACATTCTGCATGTATTACAACAGCATTGCTCCATATTAAAAGAGTTCAGGTGCTAAACTGACCTGCCTGCAGTCCAGACCTGACACCCACTGAAAACATTTGGCACATTATGAAATGAAAAATATGACAAAGGAGACACCGAACTGATGAGCAACTGAAATCCTGTATGAAACAAGAACAGGAAAGAGTTCACTTTCAAAAAGTTGGTATCCTCAGTTCCCAAACACTTACAGAGTGTCGTTAAAAGAAGAGGTGATGAAACACAGTGGTAAACAGGCCCCCATCCCAACTTCTTTGGAATGTGTTGTTGGCATCAAATTCAAAATGGGCATAAATTTAAAAAAAAACAATAAAAATATCAGTTTCAACATTTCATGTTGTCTTTGTAGTGTTTTCCTTTAAAAATGTGGTTTACATGATTTGCATATTATTGCACCATATTTTTATTTACATTCTGTACAGTGTCCCAACATTTTTGGAAATGGGGCTGTATAAAGAGCCCACAGTGGGGAAAAAACAGAAAAAAAAGAAATGTAAGAAAATTATACAGAAGCATCAACAACTTACAATATCAGTGTGTTTAGTGTTCGGTGTGTCAGGCTTTGCTTTTATTCCAGCTTCCATTCTTTTCAGGAGACTCACAGTGGTGTGGAGGTCTGGACTCTGGGGTGGCCACTTTCTGATCCAGCAGAGCTTCTGAAGATAATCACTAACACTTATAAGAAAGAGTGACTGCAGAAAACACTGACATCAGCATGTCTTTATTACTCTACTTTCTAAGAATGTAGTTTTGTGGAGAGACAAGTGTTTTCATTCAGTAGAGGTAGTGAAAGTCCGCTGTGGAGAAGATTCTTCATTCTATAGTTTTCTGTTCTGTAATTCTGTGTAACATTTCCCAGCTGATCAATGAGGCACTTATGTTTTGTATGGTTTTACCCACAATTAAAGTCAGCAGGTTTATCAGTCTCGTTTTGATGATGATATTTTTGCTGATGTCTATAAAAACAGCTACACACATATTTAGAAGAAGACTTTCAATGAAAGAAATACAAGATTAAAGTCTGGATTATATCACATCACTGTTAATATAATGTTAATAAATATGGGTTCTCTAAAAAACAATTAAGGAAGAAAACAAAAACAATAAAACAATAGAGCATCCATCTGCCCAACTAAACTATGAACAACAGCAGAAATTCATAAATTAAGGCTAGAATATGACGAGGCATACGATTCAGTACAGTGTTATACAATACAGTACAAAAGTTAGAACCCACCTTCTTTTTCCCAGTCAAAACAGCCATTATATACAAGTTATTCATTTCTCAGGAGATGTTTCTGAGGAGATCAGAAAAAAAAATAATCCACTTGCAGAAAAAGGAGAGTATTTAAGAAAATAAATGAAAAAACTGGAGGTCAAAAACTGATTAAAATCTATTAAAAAAATGAAAACATCCACAGGTGTTTCTGTCCATCCTTCCACTGTGAGAAGACGACTCAGCGCTGTGGGTCTGAAAGGATGTGTAGCTGCTGACCACCCCAGAGTCCAGACCTCAACACCACTGAGTATGTTTGATCACTTCAGAAAATGATCAATCAGCTTCTAAGACTGAACTTTGGAGGTGTGTCTGCAGATTCTTTGAGAAACTGAAAGTGAGTCTGTAATAAAGGTAAAGAGTGACTCACTGAAGACTGAAATATTTGATATTATAGTTAT